CTCGGGCGGCCGATGAACGCGGGTGGTCTTTCTGATGTGGGCAGAAGTTGTCCTGGAGGACGCGGGCGGGTCCTGGCGGACCCTTGCCGGGCACCCGCGGGCCCGCGAGCGGGCCCAGGTGCGCTGCTGGGGACAGGCCCCATCCGCCCCATCACCCCCCTTCCCCCCCCAGCGACCCCCCCCCCCCGCCGAAGTAAAGGCCGCGCCCCCAGTCACGGCCGCCCGACAGGCGCCTGAGCGAGAAGCGCCCTCCTGGGTCTCCGCCTCTTTCAGAGGAGGACCAGGCGCTCGCAACGACCTACGTGGTCGCGGCGTTGGCCCTCAACGGGTTCATGGGCCGCTGCAAGGAGGGGGCGGCGGACGGGCGGCACTCGGGCGGGGCGGCGGACGAAGCGACGGGCGGGCGGCGCTGGGGCGGCGCGACGGACGGACGCTACTCGGACGGGGCAGCGGACGGACGGGGCGAGGGACGGGGCGACGGACGGACGGCGCTCGGACGGGGCGGCGGGCGGACGGTGCTCGGACGGGGCGACGGACGGACGGAGCGACGGGCGGGCGGTGCCCGGACGGGGCGGCGGCCAGGCGGTGCTCGGGCGGCGCGACGGACGGGCGGCATTCGGACGGCGCGGCGGACGGACGGTGCTCGGGCGACGCGACGGACGGGCGGTACCCAGGCGGGGCGACGGATGGACGGAGCGACGGTCGGACGGCATTCGGACGGAGCGACGGACGGACGGTGTTGGGACGGGGCGACGGACGAACGGCATTCGGACGGACGGACGGAGCGACCGACGGTACCCAGACGGAGCGACGAACGGAGCGACTGACCCCAGCGAAACGCGTCGGGCGCCTTGTCGTCGGCGCCGCGCGTCTCCCAGGAGTGGTCCGTGATGACCGCCACGGCCATTCAAGAGCAGCTGGCGAAGTGCGACTTCGTCATCTGCCACGAGCGCGGGCGGAGGGGGGAACAGCGCGGGACGAGCGCGATGGGGGAGGGGGGTGCGCGGCGCTGCTGGAACGCATGACCGCGGCGCGGCCACAGCGAGGGGAACAGCGGCGGGAGTGGGGAAGCGGGTGCCTCTGGGGGGTCATTTCGGGGCCTCTTGGGAGCCTCTCGGGGGCCTGTTGGGGGGTCCCAGGCGCATCGCGGGGTTTTTGTTTGGGGCGTCTTGGGCCTCTCAGGCCGAGAGCTCGAAATGTCCGTTCGGGTCCCCCGGCTGGGCACTTTCTTGGGGCCGTCTTGGGGTCGTTTTGGGCCGTCTTGGAGCCTCTTGAGCTGCCTTGGGGCCCTCTTTGATCGTTTTGGGGCCCTCTCGGAGGCCTCTTGGGCTATCTTGGGACGATCTCGGGGGCCTCTTGGACCGTCTTGGAGCGTCCGGAAGCAGAAAAGGCGAGAAGCCCAACATCGATGGGAAATCAATATGTTTGCCTCTTCGGGGCCGTCTGGAGGTTCGGCGTCCCCTCTCTCAGTTCGATGGCTGTATCCACCCTCTTCTCTCCTCCCTCATGGCATGGAGGGGGGCGGGCTGGCCTTGCGGAAGACGTGGAAGCGGTGGCGGGCTGACGGAGAGGAGCGGGAGGCCAGGAGGGGAGAGGGGGAGGAGGAGGAGGAGGAGGAGGAGGAGGGCCAGTGTAAACCCAAGAGTCATCAAAAATGTGGGAATCAACCCTCCCTCCTTGCTCCCTCTTCATAGGCCCCTACAACGGTTCATTCCCACTGAGGGAACTGCTTCGTTTGGAGATAACCGTTCGAAGACCGTGACGCATGCCAAAACATTGCTCTCGGGATTTCGACGCCACGGATCAACCTGACTGTTGCGTCTTGGCGATCTTGAATCGCACCAGAACGCCATTCTTGGGATTTCAACGCCACGGATCAGCGTAACTGCTGCGCCCTGATAGTCCTGAATCCTTCCAAAACACAATTTCTGGTACGTTGACCATGGGAACCCGTGAAACTTTTGAATTCTGTAAAAAAGAAAGTGCATTGCGGTAAAGCGAGAGCCACAGTTTGAAAAAGAACCGCCCTCAATCCGTGCAGCTCTTTCTCTGTTTAAAAACGAATGTGCGCGGCGCCGCGGCGGGGGCCACTGTTTGAAAACCACCCGCCCTCAATTCGTGCAGCCTTTGCACATTTGTATAACGAATGTGCGCGGCGCTAATGCGAGAGCCACATTTTGAAAACCACCTGCACTTCACTTGCGAAACTATTGTCGATGTGTGAGCTTCAGGGTCATAAGTGGTGAGGAAGTCTCCGGCGAAACGCCCGGACCGCCCTAAAAACCGGCCTCGGGGTGCGACAGGGGAAAGTTATTTTTAAGGAAGAGGAATGGAGGAGGAGGAGGAGGAGGAGGAGGAGGAGGAGGACGAGGAGGAGGAGGTCCAGTGCAAACCCAAAAGTCATCAAAAATGTTGGAATCAACCCTCCCTCCAAGCTCCTACTCATAGGCCCCATACAACGGATCATTTCCATTGAAGGAAATGCCTTTCTGGAAGACAACCTTTTGAAGACCCTGAAGCATGCCCAAACATTGCTCTCGGGACTTCAACACCACGGATCAGCGTGATTGTTGCGTATTGACAATCCTGAATCCTGCCAGAACGCCATTCCTGGGAGAACGCCATTCCTGGGAGTTCAACACAGCGAATCAACATTACTGTTGCACCCGCGTAATCCTGAACCCGTTCAAATCACCGTTTCTGGCACGTTGATAATAGGAACCCATGGAACTCTTGCAAATGTTTAAAACGAACGCGCGCCGCGCGAAAGCGAGAGCCAGTCTTTGACAAAGGAGCCGCCCTCAATCCGCGAGGCTCCTTGCAATTTTTTGAAACGAATGCGCGCCGCGCCAAGGCGGGAGCCACAGTTTGAAAACGACCCGCCCTCAATCCGTGAAGCTCTTGCAATTTGTTGTCAAATCGAACGTGCGCCGCGCTAAGGCGAGAGCCACATTCTGATAACGACCCGCCCTCAATCCGTGAAGCTTTTGCAAACGTTTAAAACGAACGTGCGCCGCGCTAGGGCGAGAGCCACAGTTTGAAAACGACCCGCCCTCAATCCGTGAAGCTTTTCCTAATGTTCAAAACAAATGTGCGCCGCGCAAAGGCGAGAGTCACATGTTGAAAACGGCCCGCCCTCAATCCGTGAAACTCTTGCACATGTTCAAAAAAATGTGCGCCGCGCGAAGGCGAGAACCATTGTTTGAAAACGGCCCGCTCTCACTTCGTGAAATCCTTGCAACAACGAATGTGCGCCGCGCTATGGCGAGAACCACATGTTGAAAACGATCCGCCCTCCATCTGCAAACTTGCTTCCAACTTCTAAGCTTTATAGTCATAAGAAGTGAGCAAGTCTCAGGCGAAACGCCCCACCCGCGCTAAAAACTGGCCTCGGGGTGCGACAGGGAGAAGTTATTTATAAGGAAGAGGAATGGAGGAGGAGGAGGAGGAGGAGGAGGAGGAAAAGGAGGAAGAGGAGGAGGAGGAAGAGGAGGAGGAGGAGGAGGAGGAGGAGGACGGGGGAGAATGGTGAGGCGAGAGGGGTGTGGGTGCCTGAGGTTATCGCGCAGGCCAGCGCTGCTGCCGCCCAGGCGGGTGCCGCAGCTCGAACATGGTTCGATGAGCACGCCAGTTTGGAGAGTCGCTGGGGTGATCTTTGCATCCATTCTTGGGAGTCCTACCTCGTCACCGCCGTGTTCATCTTCATCGCCACTGCGGTCGCTGCGGCAGTCGGCTGCTGCTGTGGCCTGCTCGGGTGCGTATGCGGGAGCGGATGCTCTCGCCACTGCGTGCAGCCTGCCGCTGGTGAGCCAGTGCCTAGACAGCAGCAGCAGCAGCAGCAGCAGCAGCAGCAGCAGCAGCAGCAGCAGCAGCCGCACCGGTTGGGTGGTGAGCCCGCCCTTGACGAGGCTGCGCTGGATCTGGACGTGCCCCGCGCCGCCCGCCCGCGCCGCCGCGCCGGGCGTCGCCGCCGCGCCGGGCGTGAAGGGCTGCATGCCACCTCCTTGGGAGGCTGGCTCCGCGACCTTACGGAGGAGGGCATCGAGCCGCACCCGGGTCCTCCTCGGGAGTTCGTGGTGCAGGTCCGCGAGTTGGTGGACGCCCAGGCTGCCGCAGCTCAGGAGGCGCGCTGGCGCAGCAGGCCGCCCGAGACCCTCCCAGAGGTCCAGCGGGACCTGTCGGAGCGTATCCGCTACCTGGGGGAAGCGCTGGGAGAGCGGCCGTGCGCTCACACGCCCGAGGCGGACAGCGGCTACGCGAGTGCCGTCGAGGAGTGAGGAGAGAGGGAGGGAGAGGCTGCGAGGAGGTAGAGAGGGTGGCCCCCGAGGGACCGCAGCGGCTGGGGATGTCGGGGTGCCCTCTGGGGCAGCACCGTGGCCGCGGGAGGGCCGCTTGGAGGTCGCACCAGTGACCCCGCCGCTGTGCAGGCCAGAGCTGCAGGAGATGCAGCGGGTCCTCGCGGAGCGCATCGAAAGCCTGGAAATCGCGCTCGGGGCGAGGGTCGGCCCCCCGACGCCAGTTGCGGGCCCCCCCGCGCTGGAGGCGGATGCTGTGCCAGCGCCGACGCCCACCGAGACCCTCGTCAGCAACGTCGAGTTCTTGACGCCGCCAGGGAGCCCAGTTCCGGGGGATGCCAGCCCATCCTCGGGCGAGCCGGCTGTTGGCGCCGTGGCGCTGTCTCCAGGCGACAGCAGCGAATGGCAGTTGGAGGCGTGCTATGATGTGGCGCCACCGTCGCCGACAGGTGCCCCGCCACAGCAGGAGGAGGCGGCTGCACACGCTGAGGAGCCCTCCAGTGTGCGCTTGCCCGGGGCGAGGGCGGAGCAGCTGCTGCGCCCGTAGGCGCCCCGCTGCAGCTGGGGGAAACCGCAGCGGCGCGGGGCAGCGTGTCGGCAAACCCCGGCGGAGCGCGGAGCTGCCCAGCGTGTGGCTCCGAGCTCGAGGCCAAGCGCCCTGGGCGTGGGAAGCGGTGCGACGGATGTGGAGGCGGTTATGGCAGAGGAGGCTGGGCGCTCGCCTGTGCGCCGTGCAACGCGTTTGTGTGCAAGCACTGCGCGGTAGCCAGAGGAGGAGCGGGAGAGGAGGCGGCTGCAGGAGGCGCAGAAGGTGCCGGATGTGCAGGACGAGGTTCAGCAGGAGGCCGAGAGCCCAGAGGGAGGAGGGGCTGGAGGAGGTGTAGGAGGAGGTGCAGGACTTGGACAAGGTGGTCACGCCGCTGCTGCTGAGGAGATTGAGGAGGAAAGGCAGGCACGGCAGAATGTCACGGAGACGGCGCGCGCGAGTGAGGAAGAACAGGAGGAGGACGAGGCGAGGAGAGCAGCGGCTGCAGGAAGTGGCGCGACACGCCAGCGTCCACCCGGCGATGCTGGAGGAGCAGGAGGACGGCCAGCTGCAGGAGAAGACCCAGAGGCGGGAGGCGCTGCGGGGGCATGCCAGCCCATCCTCGGAGCAAGCCCGGAACCAGTCGGAGGGCGAGGGGAAGCAGCACCACGTGAAGCTGTTACAGGAGGAGCGGAGGACGAGGCTGAGGCGGAGGAGGAGGCGGACGCCGAGGCTAGCGGCAGCACCGATCCGGCGGTTGCAGGGCCCCAGGCGCACGCAGTGCTGCCGCCGCCCAGTGTGGCAGGTCAATGCCTCCTGCGCCGCACTCGCTTGAGCGCGCTGGTTGAGTGCCGCAGGTGCTCCAACCTGCAGCCCGGGTCCACCAACATCTATGTCTGCGTGCATTGCCGGAAGTATTAGTGCGCCCAGTGCAAGCCTGGCAGGCGGGCCACGTGGTCCCTCTTGTGCTTGGCGCCTGCCAGCGTCAGCGACGCAGCGCTCCCGAGGAGGCTCGCGCACCCGCAGGCTGCCCGCGCTTCTGCAGCGCAGCCAGCTCCGCCTCCCCAGGCGGCCGGGGATGCCGAGGCTGCGGCAGTACTGCCGCGATGGCGAGCGAGGCGGAGGAGGAGGAGGAGGAGGAGGAGGAGGCGGAGAAGGCGCTGGAGGCGGCGAAGGAGGGCTGCAGTCGATCCGCGAGCTCTTGCAGCGCGTTGTCGAGGAGCCGATGCTGCCGACCTTGCTGGAGCCGCCTCCTGACGCACTTGCGAGGGCAATGGAGGTCTGGCGATTGAGCGTAGCGGAGCTCCACAGGGTCCACACGCGAAGCGATGCCACACCTGCAGCGCCAGGGGAGGCTTCCTTGTGGGCCGATGCTGTTCCTGGACTCCTTCTCCGTCGCCTCCCGCGTCAAGAGTCGGACGAGCAGCAGAGCGGCCGCGTCCCGCTCAAGACGGCACTCAGCCACCGGCTGAAGCGAGCCGAGGTTGCGGAGGAGCGCCTGCTTCGCGAGCTCGTGGTTGAGCACCTTGCAGACAGGGCGGAGGAACACAGGCGTGCCGCTAGGCAGGAGGCCCGCGTGCAGGCTGACACACTCGACGGTTGGAGCTGCGCGGTCAAATCAGTCC